TCCACCAACTGCTGCAGCGGACAGGCGACAACAATTGGTGAAAAACGCCGCTCCGGGTCAAGCTCAGCCCTGTGATACGACCCAGCGCAGGGAAAACGTCTATACTTCCAACGCTTCATCACAATAGTGCAGCTGGTCAGGAGGCTAGGACCAAATTTAGAGTCACACATAAACTGCTCTAGCTGCACTTGAACTTCTTTAGAAACTTTTGTGTCATTAGGAATAGATTGACTAGTCCACGTCGACTAAAATGGGCGGAGACAGCCAACCATTTGCGCCTGTCTCCGCCCAGAAGACCATCAAGGAGTGCTTCTCCAAAATGTAAAATATGTAAAACCGATAAAATAAAAAGCATTATTACCTTGCGTTTTGCCTGCTCAACCAAGGCGTTACCGGCTAGTTGACATACGGTCATTTTCGTGTGTTTTGTTAATGCCTTTACAATACGTATATTGAAATAAGCCAGAATGAAGAATGGCGCAAAAACTGTCACAAAATTACGGTACCTGAACAAAAACCAGGCTTATCACAATCAACGACACGCTTAGTAATTAGTAGACCTCAAAACCCTTGTGAAACCTTCAAGGTTCAGAGAAGAACGCCTAGAAACAAGAGAGGGCGCTGGAAAGAAAGTAAAATCTTACCAAAAGCGCCAGACAATATGATACGGTGTTTCGAATACGAAATCTGGGTAACGCATTTGAGTTTGAGTGATCAGCCCTTCGCATTCGGGAATATCCTCGAACTGAAATAATAGTGATTCTAATAAGGCTATTCCTTAAGAAATTGGAACGACTGATTTTCAAGCTGTCCTGTTTTGACGTTCCCTTTCACACTACCACGGAATCATGCATCCTATGTAGATCCCACAGAAAATTCGCATTACGGTAGACGCATTTCATTGCGCTATCGCGGAGAGGTACAGTCCTCATCATTGCGGTGGGGCGTGTCAGTGCGGCTGCGTTTGGCGCGGTGCCAAAGTCGTTCTGCACCAGTTGTTGAAGCGGGCAAGTGACATTACTGTATTATA